TCACACTTCTTATCAGGAAGCCGCCTACGCATGCAGTGGGCCTTGGACTTTTGGATTTTGGTGTGCACGGTCGTGACAGAACAAAACACAGGGATTGTCCGTTGTCTGGCAAGACTGGAACGGCAACCCGAGCTTGGACTTGGCTCCACCTGTTGTTTTGGGTAGCTCTAAGCAACGGCTCTTTGTTGCTCCTGACCGGTCGCTGAGGCTCCGTAGTTTGTGCTGAACGGCTAACACCGGCAAAGTCTGTGCGCCGCAGCCCTTGTAGAGCTTCTTCGCTTTGCTGTTTCACCGCTTGTAGTTTGATGCTTGGATTGTAGTTTCAAAGCTTATTTGTTGGCATGTTGCAATGAGAGCGGTGGGCAACACTGCTTAGCCAGCATGGATTCCGACTTAGAGGCGTTCAGTCGTAATCCAACAGATGATAGCTTCGTGGTATTAGCTTTTCAGCTAGCCACATTAACCAAGTATCTGAACGAAGTGTTCCTCTCGTACTGACTTCGATTACTGTCGCAGCATCTAGTTCATCAGTAGGGTAAAACTAACCTGTCTCACGACGGTCTAAACCCAGCTCACGTTCCCTATTGGCGATGTGATTAAATTAAACCAAGCTTCAACCTGGAATGTAAGCTTTCAAGCCTTCAGAGTTACAGAGTTAGAGTTCAAAGTTGCAGGGTGTAGGGTGTAGGGTTTAGGGTTTACGGTTTAGGGTGGAAGGTTTAATGCAATCAAACTAAATGCGTTTAAAGTTTAGGGTTCCTAAACCTTAAACTAAAGCAACCTTCAACCTGGAATGTAAGCATCCAGAGTTACAGAACGTTTCAAGGCATCAGCCGTACCAGTGCAAAGAAGCGGAAGGCACAGAGGACGCCAAGGCAAGGAGCAGAGGTGGACACAGCAGGAGTGGGACTCGTGGGGCATGAGCCGCTCCCAGAACTCCTTGAGCCAGGCAGTCTCGGGGGACGAACTGAGGGAAGTGGTTGCGCTTCTGACGCGACTAGCCTTGCGCCACGAGGACACAGAGGCAGCCCTGAGAACGGACTGCTCGTTCCTCCTGTACATGGACACACAGGGCATGGGGATGACGGCGCAGCTGATCAAAATCTCCCGAGAATGGAAGGAGAAGAAAGAAGCGGTGCCGCCGCAAGTCAAGCAAAGCCTCAGGACTACCCTCCTCGTGTCGATCATGGTAGCAATGCGGCAGAAGATGGAGCAAGCGCTCACCCCGGAGATGAGGCCGACGCTTGTCAAGCACGGATGGATCACAGCGGTGGACCCTCCGTCGGTTGGCCTACGGGATTCGGTCTTTACTTTGGCATGCCATGGACAAATTGGGCCCACATACGCTTGTTTGTAGGGACCGTGCTACAGCCGTAGTCGACGAGGCCCAGTCAAGCCAAAAAAAAACCAGAAGTTCAAGAACCTGTTCTGAAGATGACTCAGGAGGAAGTCTGAAAATTTCAGTTGTGTTTATGTCCATGTGACGTTTTGCTAAACCAGAATAGAAAGACCTGGTATAGTTTGAAGCAAGTCAAAACGTCTCAGCGTCGAAACCGCACGTTTGATGTTGTGTGTTGGGTTTAACATTTTTTGCGGATGGGGTTCCACACAATGAGACATAAGCAAACCGAAGTTGTAGGCTGCACAGGGCAAACTCATGTGGGAGCCTCCCGAATATCCTGGACCTTGTCTCGACCTTCATTTTGACAGATTTTGACGGGTTCTTATTCGAGGCCGAAAAACCCTTCGAAAACATGTGCGCCCCAGGGGCCTCCCCAGTACGTCTGGAAATGTAAGATTTCTGCGGAGTTCGGTGACCTCCCAGCGATGTCGAAACTCTTCGAAGTCTTTTACCCGCGATTCTACACCAGCATCCACACTCTACCGGGCTTTGGAAAGAAAGCAGTGATCATTGTGGCATGGATGTGCCCTCTGCTTCTTTGCCATTTGTGATATCTGGCTGTACTTTCTGGATGAGAGCAAGGTTCTTTGCGGACCATTGCGCATATCCGCTTTGTGGAGCGGGAAATTCATGCGGCACCTTCTGCTAGCTCTCCTACCGGCGATTCTGCGTGTCGGCACCCACGCTGGGCCGGCTGTGACGCCTGTCCGAACGCAGAGGTAATGGCGTATGGTGGCTTCCCTTGTCCGAGCAGATTTTCTGTCTGCCGGGCTTTGGAAAGCAGTGACCATTGTGGCATGGATGGACTTCCTGCTTCCTTGCCATCTAGAGATGCCTGGCTGTACATTCTTGACGTTATGCCAGTTGGTATGCGGCGAGCCATTGCACATTTCCGCTTCATGGATTGCGGAGCCATTCATGTGCCCGTTGCGCAGTCCAGGTTTTGTGGATTGCAGGGGCTGTGAGCATGGGCCAGTTTTGTACAACCATTCTGCGAACACTTGAATGTGGCCATTGCGCAGTCCAGCCACGATAATACGGATTGTAGAGCCTGAGGGGGACGAATTTGTGCAGTTACTTTGCTGAACGCTTTCCGCTGACTTAGTCCACTTGTCGCAGCCTTAGGTGGTGTTTCACCTTTATTTTCGTTGTGTATTGTTTGTTTCTTGGTTTCTTGTAGGGATCGTGCGCAGCCGCCGCTGTCACCGAGGCCAGCCCATGCCAAAAAAAGGGGAGAGTTAAGTTCCTCGGCAGAAAGATTCGGCGGGACTTTTTTGTTGTTGCAAAATCTGGAAGCCCAGTATTGCACCAGATCTGAAAAAGATTCTCGATGAGCATGGAAACTATGCAGCAGAAGTTGAGCCTTGAAGCCAGCTTTATGTGTCGAGCGCCGTAGGGAAGATTGCCTGGGCGGCTCAGACGAAGATTGACGTGACATGAACCTTTTGAGTCCAGGGCAATCGCAGCCTTTGGCTGTCCAAGAGTCGCGCCTGAGAGCGTTTTAGTTTTTGAGGCTTTTGATGTTCGTCGAACATCACGAGCAGCTTTTGTATTGTGGGGGAACGTTGGCCATAAAGTGACGCTTGTCAAAAAGAAGCATGGGCCAGTGAGATGCACATTGCGTGCAGGTCCTTGTCTGGGTTGTGTCATGTTGGTCGATGGTTGGATACACCTATTGAGAGATTGACGATTATGCCGGAGACCACAGACTTGGAGATGGGACAGTGACCAGTGAAGGGGATCGCGGCGTTGCTAGATGCAGTGAAACAGGAGGTTGTGGCGAGACGACCTGCGAATTCCACGACAAAGCTGCTTTAGCGCCTTTTACAAGTGTACCAACCCGGTGGTGAGAATGAGAAGGTGAAGAGATATTGAACAGTTTGCACCACCGGCAGAGAGTGACCCGAAACGAGCTCTTGAGTCTCTTCGTCGGTGTTCCATGAGGTGTCGTGTGGAGCCGGATTCTAAGGACAGACCGTGCCCAGTCTTGGCACCGCGTGCAGGTGCGCGCATGTCTTGGACAGGAGGATAGGACAGGGGAGAGGACAGCAGAGAGAACAGCAAAGAGGACGCGCGCGCCGGCGGATGTGGCAGATGGCACGCAGGAATGAATTTGCATTTTGGCGTTCAAACGAGGATTCACAAGCCAAAACACGGTTCACAAGTCAAAAAGAACAGAAAAGACACACATCAGGCACGTTCGAAGTGAGGACAGTTTTGTTGTTATCGCAAACCGACCCCAGGCCTCGAGGGGTGGGTAGGGGATCGGCGGGGGGTGGGGAGCGGGCATCTAACTTAATAATCCCAAACTCCAATTGCAAATCTCCTAACCTTAATATCCTAAACCCTAGAAACCTGAAACACTGCGCCGCAAATAAGGGTCCTTCAGGCTCTGCTTCCTAATAGCCTGCCACAGAGGTAAACCTTAAAAACCCGAAGGCATCCGAAAGCTTCAAACCCTGACAGTCTACAATCCTAAAATAAACTCCTGACCTTAGCACCTTCAAACCCGAAAACACTAAAACCCTAAAACCCCAAACCCTACACATCCCAACTTTGCCAAACCCTGCAGCTCTGACGGTTCAAGCTCTCAATCAGGAATCAACGTTGCCCCTCCCACGCAACATGTCCGTGGCTTTCCAAGTCCCTGCTCTGGCTGAGGTCTTGCAGCAGGCAGGGGGCAAAAAGGGGCAGCTGAGGAGTTTTGGTTCAGAGTTTAGGGTAGCTGAAAATTATTCGAAGCCACCGCCGAAGCCCATGCACCACGAAGCCAACAGTCGCAGCTATTTACCTTCGAGAGACCTGCGAGAAAGTACCGGATGGGCCCCCACTCCCTGAAAGCTAAAATGGACCCTTTAGACCTGAAGGGTTTGGGGTTTGGGGTGTGCCCTAGGGTTTGTTGTTTTTTTCGGTGGGCGGGGGAGGCTGCAAGAACTCTGAGAGAAGGTTCTTGCGCAGTCTGCTTCTGAAGCCTGCGTCTTCGTCTTCAGCGGCGAGGGCGCCCATGGTGCAGACACGGCTGCTTGGATGCAAAACCCTAAACAAACCCATCCAAACCCTAAACCCCGAATCCTAAAGATCGAAAGCCTTAGAACCCTCGTTACCCTAAGCAGATTTGTGGATCTTGGGTTTGGGCAGAGTTCGGATGGGCTGAGCATGTTTCGAGAGGATGAATTGATTGGGGCTGGGGGACGGAGCGGGGGCGGCCCGTCCAACGACATCCCACGACTCAGAGGTTTAGATCCCAAGCGCCGGATCCTCCACACTGGCGAAGTGGAGATTTTCTCTCCTGCTAGGGCTGCAATGCTTTACTATGCTTTGCGTTCGTCTTCCTCCAGGTCGTATTTCAGGTTGGTATAATCATCAACTGTGGATCTTCCATAGGCCTTGTGTATAGTTGAATTTTATTACACCCATAAGCTCTGATTCAGCCTTCTATAGGTAACAAACAACCCGGAATTGTTCTAGACTTCCGCGTCGTTCCCTGGTCATGGAGAAAGTGTGGAGGAATGCCAGGAAACCTGAACCGTAGCGCCTGAAGGAGTCCTGCGTGCAACGAGCCCCCAGAAAGAAAGACCGTAAGTGCCAGGACATTTCCATGCTGAAGTTCAGCCCATCGTGGCCTGCCGTTCAGGAGGCCCTGTGTGACGTCGGGCAGGTCGATTTGGAGGCTCTTGGGAGAACTGGAATCGTTTTGGGGTGAGTAGCGAGTACTCCACGAATGATCCCGTGATTCTGGGTGCCCATTCATCTTAACAGGCAGGGTTTCAAACGTTTCGGGCCTTTGGGAGGAGCGTTTGAGACTTCGGATCCTGAGGTTTTTTTGCGGGAGAACCTCGGCGATCACAGCGCCCCGAACTCACCTCTGGTCTCAGTGGCGCTGAACATTCTGCATGCGGATCTTTGGATTCGTGTAGCAGAACTGCTGAGACAGCTGTGTCGCCTTATGGAAGGGGGCGCGCAGCCCTAAGCCGTATAAACTTGGAATCCCTCAACCTTAAACCCTAAACTTAAACCCACCACCAAACCGCATACTAAACCCTAAACCTGAGCCCTAAACTCTCACATCCCCTCGGTCTCCCTGTCTAAACCAAGGACCTTTGGCAGCACTGGGGCCAGGAGCCGTCGCTGGTAGTCGGCCATTCTGTGGGCGAAGTCGCTGCGGCCTATGCCGCCGGGATTCTGACCGTCGGGCAGGCCATCAGCATCGCACACAGCCTCCCGGCAGAGAAGGGTTCAGTTGTGAAGATAATGAGAAAGTGCCAGGCCTCCCCAGATCCCCCCAGATCCCCCAACAAAAAGGGCACAGGTCAGCGGAAGTGCACCGTAATAGGGGGGGAGCAACGCCTCCAAAAGCAAAGATGGAAAGCCGCTTCTAAACCCCCAGCCCCCAGACGGCCCTACTTGGACCTTACTTGGAGGATCCTGGAACTTAGTAAGTAAGGTTACAAGTACCTTAATTGGGGCTCTAAGTGATTATAAGTAAAGTTACCTTTCTATAACCTTGCTTACTAAGTCCCATGATCCTCCAAGTAGACCCTAAACCCTAAACCCTTATAGCACCCCTATAGATTCCCTTAAAGGGAGTAGACCCTAAACCCTATAAGCCCTTATAGCACCCCTATAGATTCCCTTAAAGGGACCCCTATAGATTCCTCCAAGGCCTCGGGTCTGCCATGCAAAGCTTCCCTGGGGAAATGGTGCACACGGAGCTGCGCCGAGCCTCCTTGGCCGAGTTCCCCAAGTCTGGCTTCCACGTGGCTGCCATCAACTATGCTGCTCTTGCTCAATTTTAGAGTGTGGGCCACTGTGGGTTTTTTTTCGGGATGTTTAGGACTCCGGGTTTTTCTTCCACCGCCGAAACAATCAGCTATGCCGGTTTCCGCAGTGGATTTTACAGGTGTTGTGGTTTTGCGGTTTGGCAGGCGGTTCGGACGTTCTTGTAGGGAGCAAGTTCTGTTAGATTGTCACTCTGAGCCTCAATCGACAAGAGGCTGATGCTGGGGGGCAGCCGCAGTGATCAGCTCCTGTAGGGGCATCGTACTGTGCTGGCATTCATCTTGCGTCATGGGAGCCCTCGCAGCAGCCCTAAACCCCAAACCCTAAAACCCAAACCGTCGACTAAGCCCAGGTGGTTGCGAAAGGCGACAGCGAAGAAGAGGACCTGCTGAGTGTCACGCTGTGTGGCGCCTCTGCAGAGGACCGTTTCGCCCCGCTTCAACTGGGGTCTTCTGAACTACCCAGAGAGCCCAATATCGCAAATAAAGGAATATAGCTTAAATCATAATATAGGGCTTCATATTATGATTTAAGCCATATTCCTTAATTAAGGGTTATTGGGCTCTCTGGGTACGGCCTGGACGTGCCTGCCGAACCGAAGCGCTGAGTTCCAAAAGGAACTATAGTCGCGAGTTCCAAGAAATAGCAGCTCCCTTCCTGCGATGTTGCACCGCAAACCCTAAACCCTAGACCCTAAACCCCTAAACCCCTAAACCCCTAAACCCTAGACCTTAAACCCTAAACCCTAAACCTTGAAGCGAGACCCGTCGCGCCACAAGCTTCGCAGGATTATCTGGCTGTGGATCCTGCTGCCATGAAGCTGCGGCCATGCCATGCGTGGCATCATCCGGAGGCTGCCGCATTCCCATGGGTGGAGAGCAGGGTTGAGGGAGTAGGGTGTTCAGAGAGCTGGGGACAAGGGAGCTCGTGTTTGAGGCTACGTTCGATGAGCGGCTAGGCTGTGTTGTCGGCCTACGGCTTTAAGCTTGTGAGTTTTGATGTGGGAGGGTTTGGGCTCGAAGCTGAAGCTCTGCGGAGGCGACGCACTGTCTACCTGTTTGATTGCCTGGCCCTCCACCTGAAGAAACACCCGGCGAAGCCTCAGACTCCCCAAGAGCTCTCCAAGGATGTCCCACAGGCCAAGGGAAGCCACAACCATGAAACCAACAGACTACCAGGAGACGGGTCAAGGTCGACGGTCAAGGGTTTAGCACGTAGCCGTTTAGCCTTTAGGCGTCGAAGGGTTTAGGGTATCATATTTTGTTCTATGGTACTCTTATGGGTCCCTTATATATCCCTTATGGTAGCCCGTATAGACCCCTTTTGAAAGGAACCCAAAGCCCCTGCTGCAAAGGCACCAGTGCCCGGCGAGCTTCCGCGCGGCGGTGCTGCCCGCATCCCCTTCGTCTCTGCCGTTTCTGGGTCTCAGCTGGCAGAGCTCCCGGAGGACCAGATTCAATACATCGTGTTCAGGGTTTGGGGTTTTTTTGGGTTTGAAACTTCTAGGGTTTAGGGGAGTTTGACCATCTCGGGGTTGAGCAGTCTCTAAGAAGACCGGATTTGAATTTTCGAAGCTGCGCGGCTTGGATTTTGAGGTTGGCAAGGACCCTAAGCCCTAAACCCCAAAACCCTAAACTCCAGAACCCTAAACCCTAGGCCCCAAACCCGCACCAAGCTGTGTGCTTCCCGAAGCCGGGGCTCTCCTTCTCAGGGCCACTGGCATCGTTGGCAGCGCAGCCCTGTGAAGTTCGCCGAGGCTCTGAACCTGGTGCGCCAGCTTTCAGAATCCAAGCAGGGACCCTCTGCTCCGCACTTGGATCAGGTCTCGGGGTTTCAGGGCTTCAAAGGATCGCTTTGCAGTGGAAGGATTGATGCAGTTCTTCGAAGTGTATGCATTTCGGGTTGTGGGCTTGGGTAGCTGATCAGAGTTGCCCAATACCCCTTAATTAAGGAATATAGCTTACGTCATAATTTCAAGCCCAATATAATTTAAGCCATACTCCTTAATTAAGGGGCCCCTTGGGCTCTCTGGGTAGGGACTTGCCTTTGCTTAGTAGGGAATGGAGGAATGGGGTACAATTATAACTACTATTACTAACATTCTTCCATTCCCTACTAACCAAAGGTAGGAGTTAGGGACATCAAAGCCGGGAAGCCGAACCTCAGGGGGCCGAGTTACAGTGCTGGAGATGGGTGCCCATCCCGTCTTGGCGGCTGCCATCCAGGACGAGGGTAGAGGGTTTGGGGCTGGGTTTGAAGGTATAACGTAAGTCCCTTAATATGGGTTATATGTATAATTACCGGACTTATAGCTCTACTTATAACTACCCGTAATATGGGTTATAAGTATAGTTTCTGTACTTTTAGCTCTACTTATAACTACCCCTGAACCTCCAAGTATGAGGTGGAGATGTTGGGGTGTTCAAGGCAGTTCTCGAAGCGGAGCGGTGCCGCGGTTTTCGTGACCAAAATAGTCCTTAAAAAGGTAGGTTACGTGGGGTTAAGGTAATTGATACCGTTGGTGCATTGGACCGTGGCGCAGTGCTCTGAGTACAAGTGGACTCTTCGATCTATAATTCAGTCACTCATTGCTTCCTGCTTTGCACTGGCTGCTTGTGCCTGAATCATGTGTCAAGCGGCCATTTGCCTTCTTGCCGAGATGGTGCTGGCTAGTCATATGGAGTCGTGTTGCAGTCTTCGCCTTTAATGAAGGCCACGTTCTCCGACGGGCTCCGCTATGCCTCCTCCATGCGTCGCGGGGAGCCTGCCGCCCCGTTCCTTGTCCGACGCTTTCGGGTTCCTTACGCCATCCTAAACCCCAACCCTCCCCCCAGGCCGGTTCCGTGCCCCCAAGAGACTTGTTCTCTTGCCCCCAGGTCTGAAAGGAGGCTAAGTTACTATAGAAGCTGCGAGCTCGGTCTCCCCCCTAAACCCTTTCCACCCCCATCCCCCCCCAGGTTTGTTCGACATCAGCGCGCTGGCTTGGGGCCGGGCTTCCGCGGGCAGCTGTCGCGGGCGCTCCAAGGCTTCAGCTTCGGTGGCCGGGAGCTGTGCCCCGGCGCAGAGCTGCAGAACTTTACACAAGGTTCTACCTCTAATTAGCCGAAAAGACCTACCTTCTTTCAGGGTTCCTATCTTGGTTTTAGATATAGTTCCTTAAAAAGGTAGTTCTTTTCGGCTACAGGTAGGGTTTAGGATTTTTTAATATTTTTCCGGCGTGGGATTGAAAACATCCGAGGTGCCACGCCACGAGCTTTGCTGCCCAGGGCATTGCTTCCCAGCAACTGGTGCTCCTGACAGAGGCCCTCCGGAAACAGAAAACAATTATATAATAATATTGTAATACAAAGATATAGTAATATAAAAATATATTAGTTCATATTGTAACAGGAAAATATTGTAATGTTATAATACAGTAATATAATAGTATAATCATATAATAGAAAAACAGCGAGTCAAGGAATTGCCAGGGGGAGAACGCCGTGATAGGGAGCCCTATAAACCTTAGCCATTCTTCGCCTTACACTTTGTACACCTCTAAAGTGTCTAAAGCGGCTAAACTCTAAACCCTAAACCTGCAACCCCCCGTACTTACGTTTGGTTACTCGGGAATGGAAGAATGGTAGTAATAGTAGTTATACTTGTACCCCATTCCTCCATTCCCTACTAACCAAAGGTAAGCCTACCTTAACCCCACGTAACCTACCTTTTTAAGGACTTGTATAAAGAAATCATATTCGGGAACCCTAAAAAGGTAGGTTCCTTAGGGTCCAGGTATAGATCCAGTTTGGAGAAAGCGTTGAGCCCAGAGAGCCCAATACCCCTGGGTTGAGGCCTTGAAGCCCTATATACCCTTAATATAGCTATTATATACCCATTATATAGCCCATTGTAGGGTAGGGGTCCCCATTAAGGGTCCCTCCTTTTCCCCTTGGAGTTGAGGCCTTGAAGCCCTTCTTCCCGGGCCTCGCGGCCCACGACCTCTACCGCTTCAGCTCCATCGAGGTCCGGTTGTGTTGCTTACTTGGAGGTCCAGGGGTAGTTGTGGGTAGGGTTATAAGGGTCCTTTAAAGGGATCTATATGGATTCTATAAGGGTATAGGGTTTAGCGTCCAGGGGTAGTTAAGGGGACTTACAACCCTACTTCTAAATGCCCCTGCCAAGTAGGGCATGAGGGTCTTTGGTATCTACTGGTGCTTCAGCTCTCCGTCGCTCAGGCCCTCTTGGATTGGGACGTGGAAACAGTCAGCCAGGCTCCGTCGGGGCCGAAGGTGCCGAAAATGCAGGAGCCGACCCTAAACCCTAAAAGCCCTCCCAAAAAATCTTAAACCCTAAACCCAAAACCCTAAACCCTAGACCCCCCGGAGGAGCTTCACTTCGAGATTTTGGGATGTGCTCTCCGCCTGCCAGGGGGGGGCGTGGACTCGCCCGGCACCTTCTGGAGCATGCTGCTGGAGGATGACCAGGACAGGGAGAATGACAGGGACAGTCTTGTCTTGTGTCGAGCATCTTCGGACCCAGCCCTGAGCCAGGATTCCGCTTTTGCAGCTTTCAAGGAGGGCCCCAAGGCCGCCTTTCTTCAGCCCAAGTTCGACCAGCGCGCTGCCATGCTGGCGGCAGAGGCTGCTGGGGTCGAAGGTGCCGAGGCCGCAGCCATGGACCCGCAGCACGCCTTTGCGTTGCAGCTGGCGGCAGAGATGTGGCACGACTCGGGCGACGCTTCGCAGCTCGCCAAGGCTGAGCCGACGAGCGTCGGCGTCTACATCGGCGCCTGGCAGCCCGCCGTCTCCGACACAAGGTCCTCCGCCTATGCAGCGATCGGCTCGTCCCTGAGCGCCCTTGCAGCCCGGGTCGCCAACGCTTACAACTTGCAGGGCCCGTCAATGACTGTGAACACAGCCTGCTCCTCAGCGCTTGTGGCCGTTCACCAGGCCTTGCAGGAAGCACGTACCGGGCAGCTGGCGTTTGCCGTTGCCGGCGGTGTGAACCTGTTCGGGGAGGACGCGCAGCTCTTCAAGAACCTCCGAAGGGCTGGGATGCTCAGCCCTTCCGGCCGATGCCACACCTTCTCCGCCTTGGCCGACGGCTACGTCCGCGGCGAGGGCGGCGTCCTCTTCCTGCTGCATGCCGGCTCCGGCCTTCCATCTCGCGCACAGGTCCTGGGCTCGGCGGTGACCCAGAACTCGACGCAGACGCTGGACTTTCCATTATTACGGTGTAGGCTCATGGTTCCCGGAGAGCCCAGTACCCCTTAATGTAGGAAATGGCTTGAATTATATAGGGCTTCATATTATGACTTAAGCTATATTCGTTAATTAAAGGGTATTGGGCTCTCTGGGTTTTTGAGAGTGGAAGAGGATTTGAGCTTTCACCCCTCAGGAAGCCCTTGTCCTCCGTGGACCCGCTGGCGCAAGAGCGTGTCATCCGCCTGGCCTGTGCCAGTGCCTCTGTGACTCCCACTGACCTCGCCGCCGTGGAGCTGCATGGCACCGGCACTCCTCTGTGGGACCCGGTGGAGGTGGCAAATTAACCGTATTTGTCTAGGACCGGTTTGGAGCCAGTTTAGGGTTTAGAGTTTAGAGTCTAAAATGATGGGAGTTTCGTCCCTAATATAGTACCGCGAATGGTAATTAGGATCCTCATCATAAGGACCCCCAAATGAATTTTCGGAAACTCCCCTCCCACGTGGCAGATCTCGGCCCTCGCCCGGTTGGGCTGCGCTGTGGCCATGACGGCGTCGAAGATGCACGTGGGCCATTTGGAGTCGGCGGCGGGTGCCGTCGGGCTCCTGAAGGTCCTCTCAAGTAGATCCCACCATGTCCCTTTCACCGTGTAGTACCTCCGCATGTTGAGAGCCGGAGTGCATGTAACATATTACTATGTTACTATATATACCCCGAAATCCATGATACCAGACGGATTTATTTAGCCAGGGTCCCAGTTAGAGGCTACATAGAGGGATCGAGAGGGTCCCCTGAAGGCCATGCTCGTCTGTGAGAACTACCACGTGCCCTCCTTTGAAGTCCACGGCGGCCTGAACTCCCAAGTCCTCGCCGCGATGGAGGGATCCTGCCTCAAGAGCCCAGGACTGAAGAAAAAACGCATGCACGCCTCAAGAAGAGTACTTGGAGGTTCATAGGTAGTTGTTATTTGTAGGGTTATAAGTAGGGTAACTATACTTGTAACACATTGGGACTTATAACTATACTTACAACTATCCCTGAACCTCCAAGTAGGGATTCAGAAGACAACTCGGAGTCACCGCGAGCAGGAGTCGAGGTTGAACTAGCCGCCGGTGCCTATGTGGGCGTCTCCAGCTTCGGCTTCGCAGGAAGCAACGCGCACGTCGTGCTGGCCCCAACTCCCACGGCCAGGGCCTGTCCCAAGTACGAGGCCGCAGCCCGTGAGCATTCCGTGCTTCCCCGGCAGTATGAGCTTTCCGTCGTCGAGACCATCTCCACCGCCTCCGCTCAATCGCAGGAGCAAGCCCCCTTCTCGAGCGCCGTAAGCAACCGTCTCTTCTCCGTGGCCGAGGACGCCGAGAAAGCCGACGCCGAGGACGTGGACGTCAGCTCCCTGAGCTTCGTCGGCAGTGCCTTGCTGTCCATTTTGGGCGGCGACGCAGAGGTGGACGTGGACGCGGACCTGCACGAGCTGGGGATCGACTCTCTGGGCTTGGCGGAGCTCATGGGTTTGCTTGAGGACTCCCCCTGCAGCGATTGACTTGTGAGGTATCGGCCCAAGGCAAAGCTTGCGCCCCGGACCTTGCGTAAGCCGTCCGTGCAGAAATGAATCCTGGCTTTTTGCGCCTGCAGGACCGATTCGGCCAAGGCTGCCTCAGCATTGAGAAGATCATGGAGGAGCCGACGTGCCGGGCCATCGTGAAGAACTTGGGGGAGCTCGGAGGCCCCTTATGCTTGGAGGATCCTGGGACGTAGTAAGTAAGGTTAATTAAGGTTATAAGTGCCTACTTGGGGGTTATAAGTAATTATAAGTATGGTTACCTTATTTATAACCTAACTTACTAAGTCCCATGATCCTCCAAGTCGGCCAAGGAGACCTTGGAGCCCAAGCCCAGCCTTCCCACGACTTCCCAAGCTTTCTCCGTGGATTCCGTGGACTCCGAGCCGAAAACGTCCATCCAGGAGCCGAAGCAGGCCTTTGGGGCCCTGAGCCCTGAGGTTTTAGGTAGACATCTGAAATCCTACGCCTTTCTGCGTTCAAAAGGGCGCTTTTCCTACTACGGTCGATGATATAGGTCCTGCATTACCCAAAATAAGGAAAAGACCATAATTCCCATAGTCTAGAATCTCTAAGGTCATGCAGGATTTATATCATCAACCGTAGTTCTAGGTGGCACCCGAAGATCTGAGCAAGTGCTGGATCCGCACGACTCACGTCGGCTCCCTTCCTCGGCCCAACCACAGCAACCTGGATATGGACCAGGCTGGAAAAAGAGGCTTTTGTTTGGTTTTGTTAAGGAGGTATTCGGAGGGTTTTGTTGAATGGTTTTTCGTGGGGGTATGGAGCAGCTTCCAGGGTTTTGTTCAGGGAGTTTATCAGGGGCTATTTTGGGGCACGGGTCCGCAGGTCATCGCAGAGCAGGAGGCAGCCGCCGTGGACATCATCAACGATGGCGAGTGGGTTCCTTGAATTCGCTTAGACCCCTTTGAAGGTTCAGCCCCGAAAGGTCTCTCGAGAAGAACCTTGTGCTTGGGTGAGCACGCTGGGCAGGTCCGTGACAACTACATCGGCGACGTCATCGTCCGCATCCAGGGGCTGAGTGGCGACAGCACCAAGGACGTGAAGACCAGCTGCTGCGCCAAGCATTCGATGCCCATTGCCGCGGACATGCAGGATGCAAGACAGCAGCACTAGCCTGAACTTAGAGTTGCCATGCCGGGCGTAATGCTTGTATGCTTACTCTTTACAGAGACATGACCGTGTTGTTTCACGAGACAAGAGTAGGATGCTAAGTTTCAGAAGGTTTTTCATAGGAGGCCAAAGGGGGTTTTAAGGGTTCCCATAATAGGGTTCATATTAAGGAATCCCTACCCCAAGAATCTTAAACCACCCTTTTGGCCTCCCATCAGTTTTGGAAGGCCACCACAGGAGGGCTTTGAGTCTATTTGTTGTGGGTGTACACGCCACACATGCAGGCCATTCTGCAATCACACCCCAAAATGTAATGCCTCCCCTGAAGGAGCTGCAGGCCATGCCACTTCGGTGCAATCACCAACTATTGTAGAAATCACGGGTTTTCTCTTCGAAAATCTCGAGACGCAGGATATTGTACTAGTAGAAAGCCTACTATTCATCTGCGTGTCCTGGAACCAGACGGATTAGAGGGAGGAAATCGTTTCTGCAATTTCCGGGTCCCACCCAAAGGCATTGGGGATCCTTACACTCCTAAACCCTGAACCCTTACATCCTACATGGTGGGGTAGGTTAGGATTTGCGGTTTGGTGTCGGGTTTCTTCTCTGCTCTGCACTTGAACCCTTGAAACTCGATGGTTTTTTCAGGCTGAAGTCTGCACCTAAAGCTTTTTTCTTTCGCCTGAAGCCGCCCATTCACGAATTGGTTTAGGGTTTAGGGTGAGCCTCACAATCTCCACTTTGATGATTGACCCCCCCCCAAAGGACCTCCCGCTCTTTGGATTCTGAAATTGAGCAGCGCAGGACGTGCCCCTGTATGCACAGCGCTTTACCGGTGGAAACGGCCTCATCACTCTGAACCTGGGCCTATGAAAGTTTCACTCTAGCACACAGCTGAGAGGAATTTCTAGCACCTAAACCCTAAACCCTAAGTTGCAGAGCGGATTGTTCTGCTGAGGAACCCCAAGCGGGAAGCCACAAGCGGCCTGGCCTGCGTGGGCCATCCCTGCTACCAGCCCGGGGAGATCCCATGCCTGAAACCCTTTCTGGAGGCAGGTTTTGGGGCTTTTAGGGTTAGGGTCTTGGTGCTTCCGGGCTTCAGGGGATTAGATAGTTTCAGTTTCAGACACGACCTGGGGGCAACTTGGGCCCGAGCTCGAGGCCGCGTGCAAGAGCGGCAAGGCACTGGGCGATTGCTTCTTCTCGGTGCCCTCGCCTGGGACTTTGGCTCTCTTCTGCAGAGACTGCCCTCCTTCTTGCATGGTAATCGCTTTCTTCAAACAGACCCTTTTCCTCGGGTGTTAATGGGGAGACGGTGGGGTTTGATTTTGGTGGCCTCTGTGGGCCAGGCTTCTTCCACCGCCACGACGCATACGTGGCAGCGCTGGGCGAGGCCCTGAAAGGGGAGTACGCCGAGATCGCGCGGCAGGGCATTCTCCTGCAGGCATGGCTCTGTCCGAGCATCACAAGCAAAAGCAGAAAAGGAAGCAAGAAACGTGGGCGGGTTCTAAGTTTTGAGAACAATGTGAAAGCTTTGTCCCCGGGCTCCCGGTTAGAGAGCTCTGTCGGGAGTGATCAGCCCTTCTTAGCTTTAGCTCTGACTGTTGATATCTGACGGATGGCAGGTGGATTGTCCTGATCTGGCCATGGGTCGCCACACCAGGCGCTTCCCATTTCAGCGTCTTCCCGAAGCTAGCGGGCTCCCCTTGTTTTACACCCAGTCATAATTGGGCGGAATGGCGGCTCCTGAAGCGAACCCGTCCCCACATTGAACCTCTTGAACCTCTAAACCCTAAACCCTCAACCTTAAACCCTAAACCCTCGACCCTCAACCCTAAACCCTAAACCCTAGCTGGGGAGGTGGTCCCAGCTGACGGACGCGGAGTTCCTGGAGGTCGCCAAAAGCAACGTCGAGGCCCTGAACCGGGCCTTGGAGGCCTGGCAAAAGGGACGGCCTCCTTCCGTTGCTCGATAGTTGTGTGTGTGTGTGTGTGTGTGCTTGCGTGCGTGGGTGTGTGTGTATATATATATATATATGTATGTGTGCGTGCGTGCGTGTGTGTGTGTGTGTGTGTGTGTGTGTGTGTGTGCGCTCAAGTTGTTGGTCAACAAACTGACCGACAAGGGTGGGGAAGTCAAACGCGGACAGGCCCCCAAAGGAGGCCTTGAGCGCGAACTTCAAACTTTTTTTGGACCAGCTAACGGATATGCTGAAGTAGGCTACCTTCTGCAGCATGCAGTTTTGATCCAAGCGTGCTGGCGACCGACTTGGCTCTGTTGCTCTCCTGTTTGCTCGGTTTCTTTCTGCATTCTGGATGAGTGGAGTCGGTTATGTCGCTGTTGCGCCCGTGCCCTCGGGATTGGAGGGACAGCGATGGGCACCAGCAAAGGTGATTGGGTCCCAATAGCGGGCTCTGAAAGAGTAGACTGTTGCAGGGGGAGCCAGGAGACTGCCGAAGGCTGGCACCAGCGAAGGCCTTTCTGCTTTCCTGTGAAATCGATTTGGGACGCCAAATCGACGTGCTTGCAGTTTGTGACATCCTCCATCATATCCGCTGTGCACGGTTTTCATTGCTTTGGAACTTTGATATCAAATCAGAGATGTCAAGTGCGAAGAGACACCCTAAATGTGAAGAGATGAAACCTACTAACCCATGTTAGCTTCGGCTATATCGAGGGTTATACCAAGTGTGTACTTCGGCTGGATATCTGTGTTTGTGCCAGTCGTGAGGCTCCAGTTTTATCTTTAAAGTTCGGTGGCAAGAGAAGGATGAGTGCAACAGAGCCTCCAAAATACTCTCCTACATGAGTTCTGAAAAATGACCGGACAGTGTCTACTTGTGTTTCCGAGTGCGACAGCTTCTACATACCCAACTTTTGACAAGCAATGCTTTGGCATACGCGCAGCATGCATTTCTACAAGCCCACTTGCGAGAAGTCATGCTTTAGCACACGCGCAGTATGCTCTCCTAACAAGCCCACATGTGACCAGTCATGCTTGTAGCATAAGTGCATGCACTCCTAATAAGACCACTCGTGAACAGCAATGCTTCAGCATAATACCTGAAGTATGCTCTCCGAGATATCACATTTCGTCGATATCGGAGGGGCTGCGGCTTTGCCTGCGATCCTCCATGCTGACCTTCACGAACGGGCAGTGTAGAGGTGGCTGCGGCTCTGACTTGCGAACTCCCACGCTGACCCAATGACGGACCGGCAGTGTCAGGAGGGCTGCGGTTTGCGAACTCCCGCGCCGACAACATCGTTGACAATATTACTAGCGGGCTACATCTTAGTTTGTTTTCTTGTCTCTGTCTCTGTCTCCTTCTCTGTCTCTCGCTCTCTCTCACATGATCCGCGCAAGTGTTGTGCGTAACACCCTGGTCATACCATATGTATGTGCGTGTGTGTGTGTGTGCGTGGGGGGGCGGGGGATTAGGATGTTGGGGCTGTTTGTCAGCACGCCCCTTCCTGAAGGATGTGCCTGCCGAGCAAATTCGCGTCCATGTGTGTTGGGGCAACTATGCCGGACCGCACCACAAGGACCAGAACACCCTGCATCCCAAGATCCACGAAATCGTTGTAGGGTTTCAGGTGTTTCCGGTATAGGGCTTGGGGTCGTAAATCTGGAGCCGGGGTTTTTCTCTGAAAGCCAATCCATGAAAGGGATCCATTGCTGTTCTTTGTGCTTCCCCTGGTTTAAGGACCCAAACCCTAAACCCTAAACCCCAAGGCAAGAAGCAAATAACCGCAAGGCTCCACACTTCGAGGAAACAGGCCTTAAAAGGACAAAGTAGCATTCGGTTTCTTTCGTAAAGAGCCTACCCCAAACTGGGGTTTTGGGACTCGTTCGGCGAGGCTCAAAAGCGGCATGCAAAAAACGACCCATACTCAGACGGATCCAGCGGGTTGAAGGACATGCCAGCTGAGCTGTTGTGGCCCCTTATCGGAGAGATCAAAGCAACGTGCCTCGGTGCCTGAAAGGGGGTTCGGAACCCCGAACCCTAAGCCCCGGATGCCCCCACACCCCGCCGACCTTAAGCCTAGGTACATCCTAGTGGAAGGCGCCAACCCACGGCACCGCATTGATGTGGCCGCCTTCGAGGAGCGTGGCGTAGGCGGTCAACCGGGTTTCCGGCACATGTCGTGCGTTGATGTGGGTACAAGCCTTGACGACCACCCCGCCACGAGGACGCAGTCCAGAAGGGCTACTTCAAGCCGCACCAGGTGCGGCTTTTTCTCAAAGCAATCTCGATATCCTCACCTGCCTGGAGTCAGACCCCAAATGCTTATCCCACTGCCAAACTCTTGAAACACCGTCCGAACTTTCCAACATTTCAGGTCATTGCCCCTGGCCTGGTGGACACCACTACGGCTCGGGTGGAGGACCCGAAGCTCATCGCTGAGAGCTTGCTACGATACGTTCGTGCCTGGGCGAAGCTCTTGTCAGGGGGGTAGGAAGGAGCGGGGGAATGTACTTGGAGGATCATGGGACTTAGTAAGTAAGGTTATAAGTACCTTAACTGAGGTTATAAGTTAGTTACCCTAATTGTAACCCTAGTTACTGAGTCCCATGATCCTTTAAGTAGAGGTTTCAGCTTCGGGGCTCCTGAGGCGTTGGCATGCGCGGCAGGTGCTTTGGCCCAGGAGCTGGGTGTTAATTGCTGTCTGAGTTGCGCCCTGCTTGCAGAGGTGCAGTGGGCCACCCGAGCCGCGTGCTGGCCAGCACCGATTGCGGCTTCGCCTCAACCGCCAAATCCACGGCCATTTCGGCAGACATCGCATGGATGAAGCTTCGGAGTCCCTTCGGTTGAAGTTGCGCAGCGGTTCTCGCCAACCGCATTGTGCTTCGCAAGCTGTTTAGGGTTGCGGGTTTTGGCGTTTAGGGCCCTGTTTTGGGTTTATTGAACAGTTCCATTAGGTTTTTGGGGGGGTACGGTTTTCAGGGTTTTTCAAGAGGCTTTATTCCAGGTCTGGCCGAGGGGGCCGCCTTGGCCACCCGCCTCTTCATCGAACAGCGCGCTCCAGTGCCCTGCCGGTCGCCGAGCTTCGTGCCGACGCCCTTCCGCCCGGTGATTTTCGCCAGCAGCTCCGACAATTATGCGCTGCAGCTGCAGGCCTTTCAGTGTGTCAGGGTGTAGGTTTTGGGGGTCAGGGTTTGGAATGCTGTGGATGCCTTTAGCAGAAACGGTGGTATGCCCTGCATGCGCTTCTCCGAAAAGAGCTCGAAGCGCCATCCACTCCACCTTAGCATGACCAGTCAGATTTGCAGGAAGCATAGGAGGTGCACCCAGCAGAACACCAGGACGGAATCCTTGCTGTGAAAGTAGGCTAATGCTGCTCAAGACCACTTTTGCTTTTGCACTCCGTGCAGCCTGTCGACATCCGGACCTTTCACGCCTAGAGGCAGCCTTCTCGCGCTTGACGGTGCATCCGGCCAGCATCTTTGCCGAGGACGTCCTGAGACATCACAAGGCTGAGGCATGCTGAGGCGTACTTTGCTGATCCCTACCCTAACGCTCCAAATAGCCCAAAGTAGGTACCCTTCATCGGCTTTAGACCCCAAAAGTAGGTATTATTTGTATACTTGGAGTCTTATCCCTACACGACCAGCGCCCTCCACCGCTCCATCTCTGCTGCGGAGGAGGCTTTCGAGAAGCTCCGCTGGGTGGTCGACGCACCGCTGGCCTTCGTGGCACTGGGGTCCAGAGGCGAGGCCCAGGGAGTCCCCCAAACGGGACTGAAGGGCTGAATTTTGATGCAGGCCCTCCGGGTTTTGTAGTGGCTTTTATACATTATGGGGGGACTTGAAATCTTGACTGATGGCCCTAGACCCGGAAGCCTGCAATCCGCAGAATTCTTCAATTTTGGGGCGAAGTTTGCATGTGCTGTCGCACTGGAGGTCTGCAGCTGGCCCAAGCCACCTTGGACCGCCTCAGGGCCGACCTTGCCGTTGCTCGGCGCCCAGCCACGCTCACCGCCGCTGCAGAGGACGAGGCGCATTGGTCGGGAACGAAAGGGGCCGAATTCAAGAGGACGACGTGACTATGGGCTTTCAAGACTTTGGCTGGGAGGTGAGTCAGGGTCGGAGGCAACTCATTCCTTCTGAAGGGTCAAGGTTTCATTTGTTCCTTTCGAAGCCCGTTTAGGCTGGTATGGGTTAGACTGTTCACAACTCCCTAACTTGGAGGTTCATGGCTAGTTATAAGTAGGGCTATAAGTCCCCGAGTATGACTTATACGTATAGTTTCCCTACTTATATAACCCCACTTCTAACTATCCATGAAACCTCCAAGCCCTAAACCCTAAACCCTAAAACCCTAAGCCCTAAACCCTAAGCCCTAAGCCCTAAGCCCTAAATCCTAAACCCTAAGCCCTAAGCCCAAGTCCTGAAAGAAGAGGCGCCTGTGGCGCTGGCGGAGAGGGTTCGTGGACTGCAGCAGACGGGCTTCGACAAGCGCCGCCCGGCTCCGGTCGGGGAGGAGCTCAGGGCTTTGGAGGTCGGGCTTTCTTGTGTTTGTGGTTGAGGGTTTAGGGTTTAGGTTTGAGGGCTTAGGGTTTAGGGTTTTAGGGTTTAGGGTTTAGGGTTAGGTGAGGGATTGGAAGAGTCAAGAGCATCATCACTACTGTTGATGATATGAATTCTGAATCCTGCATTACCTTAATGACCCTAGACTGTGGGAACTATGGTACTAGTATATTCCTTATTATGGGTAATGTAGGATTTGTATCACCAACCGTATGCATCGAGGATGTTACAGCCAAGCTCAGCTCTTCGTAATGGTCTGGCTGTCGACGTTCTCCAAAGGCTTCCCGCAAACCTGACCCTGCAACACCTCTGAACCAAGCCCTCCACGTTAGCTTCAAGTTGGCCGGCCTCAGATGCGATTAGGTTGTTCCTGTGACTTGAAGATTCTGCCCTGGAGCATCACAGCATAGAGGGGGGGGGGGTGGCTGAGAGATGAAACGTGCAGTCATCGCGGTTGCTGTGGTAACAGCCTCAGCAAGGGTACTGGTGAGAAGAAGTGTGCACTTCTCAATGTAGCGCCAGGCCTGCGCACACCGACGTTAGCGTCGATCCTTTCCGTGTGAAGATGGCTTGCGCCACCTCAGGGTCCGTTGACAAGCGTAAGCGACCCCGCAAGACCTGGAATTGCCATCCAGTTCGGTTGGTTTGACCTTCTCGGGTGAAGTGCGCATAAAAAAGCTCAGTTATCGCGTCACTGCCCCGTTGTCGATACTCACAACTTGAACGATCCAGCATGTGCACTGGTAATGCTTTCGACATTAACTTATCCGCCCATGGTATCTGTAGTTTGAACCCTGTGCGGTAGTCCTGCATTAAGTCATTGCATTGCCCAGGAAGGCACTGCCAAAACTCTCACAGACAGCTTGGGCGGTCTCGGCCGCCTAAACCCCTAAACCCTCAAACCTAAACCCTAAACCCAGAACCCCAAACCCTAAACCCTAAACCCTAAACCAAGCACTGATCGCTAAGGTTCCTTGGTTCTGCCTCGCCGCAGCCAGCCGCCGGTCTCCGCGGACGTGGTGGTTGTTGGCGCAGGGTCTCCGGGCTTCGCTCAGGGTTCTTCTTTTCTTCTTTCGTGCTCAGTGCCCAGAGAGCCCAATACCCCTTCATTAAGGAATATACCTTGAATTATTAGGGGCGTATTATTATGATTTAAGCTATATTCCTTAAGTAAGGGATATTGGGCTCTCTGGGTGGCCGAGAATTGTCGATTTTGGCCTCACGGCTCAAGGTTGTGTCGACTGGAATTGTCTTCTTTGTGTGACAACTTTCTCGCGTTGCCATACCCGGGGGGAGCAGAATCAAGGAGTCAGAGACTCCATTATACCTTAATTAAGGAATACACCTCAAATTATAGTAGGATCCCCAATATGATTTAAGGTATATTCCTTAATTAAGGGGTATTGGAGTCTCTGGGGAGTTCTTTTACAGGAGGCACCCAGGTGAACCGCGCAGATCTTGAGACTTCCTGCTGGCCGACAAAGAGAGCCCAGTCCCCCTTAATTAAGGAATTTTGCTTAAATCATAATATGAAGCTCTATAATATAATATAGAGTCTATATAACTTAAGCCATATATCTCATTTAAGGGGTACTACCCCCAAAGAGCCTGAGGCTTTTGGGCATGCTGACGGCGCACCGCTGCAGTGCTGCGGGCTTCAGCGTTGCAGTGCTGGAGCCTGGGTTTACATGGGAGTTTCAGAAAACAGGGGACCCTGGAGTTCCTTTCAAGGGTTCCTTAAAGGGATCTATAAGGGTTCCATAAAGGGTTTAGGGTTAGGGTTCCTTTAAAGGGATCTATAAGGGTTCCATAAACATTTAAAATTTAGGAAGTTTCAGTAGTAGGCTCCTGATTATAAGGAGCCCAAAATAAGGTACCCCTAATTTTCGGAAACTCCCTTAAAGCAACCAGCTATTCCGGGCGCTTGCAGGAGCAGCGGACCCTTGTGGGCGGCATTTGGTCCATGTACGCAAACTCGACCTCCCAGGCTCAACATGGTTAGGGCGGTTTCTAGGCTTGTGCTTGGAGGCCAAGGGGACTTAGTAAGTAGGTTATAAGTAGGGTCATTATTGGGGTAGCTCCATTTAGGGTACTTATAACCGTACTTATAACCTACTTACTAAGTCCCCTGGGCCTCCAAGTAGGGAGTATGGGCAGTATGAGTCTTGGGGTGTCGTTTGACTGGGATCCTCGAGCTTCAGTGCGACCTTGGCCCTAAAACCCTGAAAGCCCTGAAAGCCTTAAACCCTGAACCCTAAACCCTTGCCAACCGTAGCCTGCCCCAACATGGGCTTTGGAGCTCGTGCGACAGAAAAGGCCCTCAAAAGAAACAACCCTTAACCCTAAACCCTAAACCCCTGAAAGCCTGAAGAGGTGAACAGCTCTGAGGGTGGCTACTGCATCAAGGAGCTCCTCGGTGAGGAGGATGGCAAGGCCTCACCACAGTATGAGATATGGTATAGTATAATGTACTATATAATACACTATAATGTACTATATATTATGATCTAATTTCCTTTCATATACTATAATATGATATAATATAATGCAAGTATTGGTTTTCAAGGCACGAACCTACTAAACCATAAGCCCTAAACCACGTTTCGATTTTCTTTCTCCTACGGTGATCGCCCAGCTCTACAAATCAGACATAATTGACATAATCCTTTCATGCTGGCCTTCTTTGTGGGCTTCCGTGCTTTTGGCAGGCTCCCTGGGACAACCGGGACCACAGCACCGCCGCGGAGGCTGGGCATCATACTTGTAGCCTTGGAGTTCGTCGCTTTTTTCCTGTGATTTGGGGCTTCAGGGTGCCCTAAACCCTACACCCTAAACCCTAAACCAGGTCCGGGAAGCGGAAGCCCCCAGATGTTGACTGGTGTTCAGGTGCTGAAGGATTTCGCCAAGCTCGGCGACCGCCTGAAGGATCACATCTTCACTTCTGCGGCTCGGCATTTGGAGGGGGGTTAAGAGGTGGAAGTGGATTAAATATCGGGATCGTGTCGATGATCTATATTATATGGCATTGGCTCCTCTTGAGGCTCTCCGCCTTCTCTCAGTGTGAGGTGCGCGTCGTCAAGATCTTGGGCGAGCACGGGAACTACACGGTGCTCTTTGAGGACGAGCCTTGGCAGTCTTCAAGGTCAGAGGCAGTACTTGGAGGTCCACGGGTAGTCATAAGTAGGGTTATTATAAGCAGGTTAGTTCTGCCCCATATGAGGGGACTTCTTGTCCTACTTATAACTAGCCATGAACCTCCAAGTGCCAACCCGCCTTGTTTCGGTGCCTAAACCCGGAACTCCAAGGGTTCTGGAGAGCCTAGGCCCGAAATGGCGAGATTCCTACGGTTGAGGAGAAATATCAGGGGTCTTTAAGGATTCCTTTAAGGGATCTATAGGGTTTTAGGGTTCAGGGTTTAGGGATCAAAATCCTGCATTACCCATAACAAGGAATATACCGCAACTCCAACCGTCTAGGGTCATTAAGGTAATGCAGGATTTGTATCATCAACCGTAGGCCCCCGAATCTGCCAAGGGATTCTCGAGCAGCGCCGGCGTGCTCCAGTGCCGCGGAGTGGTTCTGTGCATCAACGACCGGGTGGGGGGGCAGTCAGCAGCAGGTGACACTTCATGCTTCACCTAGCGACCTAGCTCTCCTAGACAGCCAATCTTTGAGCGGCATTTTTGATATGCTGCGCATGGTAGATGTGCCTGAGATCTTAACCCTTGAGCCCCGAAAGATTGAAGCCAAATGTGCTGACGAGGTGGGCCTCCCACGCCCGTTGTCCGTGCCTCGAGAAGACTTTGCCGGTGTGGTGGCGGATGGGACATCTGATTCCCTAGCAGGCCCGAAAGAAGCATCCAACCCCTGAGTCCGAACCCGAAAGTGCCATCATTCTCACGGCCTGGTCCCTGTAGCCTCATCACCAGCAGAGCAGTGAAGAGCCTCGACTCCCACCATCAGCCAGTTCGGACGAAAAAAGCTAGAATCATTGAATTTAAACTACCACCAAGCTTCGACTGCACAGCCCAAACCTGGAAAGATATCATAAGCACAGCGCTACCCATGCGTGCTCAGTCGGCGGGAGATGTTACGATGCCCCTCAAGCCCACCTGTGTGGGGAGGTATGGACTGGCGCGGCAAGCGCGTGATCATCGCCGGAATGGGAGCCTTTGCCGTGGAGAACGTGCGCACGGCTTTGGAACAGGGCGCTGCAGAGGTGGGACAGCGGCTGGATTTAGGGCATGTAGTAGGCGTTGCGAGGATAGCCCTTTTTCATACCCAGTTCTTCGGTGTAGATATCAGCATCTTGCGGCTACCTCTCCAGAATGAATCAACCATGAAAGACGGGATACAATTACTTTCTAGCCCACGACGGCCAAGGAAAGGAAGACTCGACTAGGGTCACTCTGTGAGGAAATGGGCGATTTAGAATGTGAGGGCGCAGCGTAACCACAGTGTAGTTTGAAAGCAGCCTGGGGTATAGGGGTATCCCAGAGGTAGTCGTCGTGGGGCGGCGGCATGGCACCATCTGCCCCAAGGCTGGATGACCTGGGCACGTTTCGACTAGGAGATGGGCGTTTTTTAATGTTCAACTTCAGGCGATTGACTACCTGAACTTCGTGAAGCCCTGGGACGAGAAGTACAAGCACGACACCCAGACGAACGTGAAACAGTTCCTCCGATGGAAGCAGCTCTATGAGCGGTCCGGTTGCACCGTGCCGGAGTGCTGGCCCAAGCAGGTGAAGCACGACGGCCACACCATCTCCGTGAGCGACATTTGGCTTCTGGTTCGTCTTCGGAATGGCTGTGCTTTTATTTGTATTTGTGGGGGGCTTTTCGTTTTTAATTAGGCGTTTAGGTGTGAAGGCTTTGGGGTTCAACGCAAGCCGAGTTCAGTTGCCATGTGAGGGTTCCGGCCCACTTCCCTACCCGGTTTGTGAGGTTTGTCGCCCACTTCATGAAGAAGCTCCGCACCTGTGCGGGAGAGATCCAGTGGCTGGTGAAGGAGCGTCCAAATCCCAAAGCCCTAAACCCTAAACCCCTAAACACCTAAACCCCCAGAACCCTAAACCCCTAAACCCTAAAACCTAAACCCTACCCAAACCTTAAGAAGGAACTACAATGGAGGCTGCAGCTAAGCCTTGCTTGGAGGATCATGGGACTTAGTAGGTAAGGTTATAAGTAAGGTAACTATACTTCTAATTACTTCTAACCCGAATTAAGGTACTTATAACCTTACTTACTAAGTCTCAGGAGGGAAAAACTTCTCTACAAAACCCGATCTCGGGCACTTAGAGGCGCGCAGACATCCTCCCTCGCAGAAGATGCAGACCTGCGCTAAACCTCAAGTCTCCGGAGTTTAGGGTTAAGGGTTGTGAAACCATCGTTTTGACTCTTCGAGGTTACCTGTAGAAGAACCACCCTAAACACATAAACCTTCTGACTCGTCGCAGGGCCCTTGGGCTTAGGCGAAAAGTTCAAAAAGGCCTCTCCCTGTGTGCAGTGGGAGGTAGCGCTATCAGTTTCAAACTGGTAGCAGAGCCCCGGCAAGAGGGTACTACAGGGGCCTAAAGAATTACCAACATTATTTTCGGACTTCCTTATTACAAGTATAGTATAATGGGCCCCCAAAACCCCATTCTAATTATTCAGGCTATTATAGATCCCGTATAGACCCCTTTAAAAGACCCTTTAAGGAGCCCTATTCGAATGATTCAGGCCCCGTTTTCATTGACGGCCTCGTGCTAAAACCCTGCACGGTTCTCCTCGAATTCTCGCCACCCAGATCTGCTTCGCCGCCGCAGTGATATGGGTGGTTGTCAAAATTCTGGTACCTTTTTGGGTACCCTACATATGAGGAGCCGTATTATAACAGGGACCCAAGAATTAAAAAGGGACCACAATTTTGACAACTATCCACATGCACGGCGTTCAGCTAAAGCAAGGATTGTTGCTTACTCAACGCGCAGAGTAAGCTCTTAGTCCTCGGGACTACATGGCAAAAACTCCTTGCGAGCCAACTTGCAGCTCTAAACAAGACATCAAGACGCCCTAACCTGCACGTACATTATCTCCCTTCCCTTCCCTCTCCGTGGGCAGGGCACCCTTGGAGCCCAGAGCAGCGTGAAAGAAAGCGAGAGAGCGTTCCTTCGTCAAGTGACACTAAGTCTCAGGTCGCAAACCCCTACTTGGAGGTTCATGGGTAGTTATAAGTAGGGTTATAATCCCCTAGTATGAGTTATAAGTTTAGTTACCATACTTATAACCCCACTTATAACTACCCATGAGCCTCCAAGTAGGTCCGCCGGACTTCCAGAGCCGCGCCTGAGTGGAGAAACTGATGCTTTGGAGACTCAAAAACCGATGCGCTTCCTTCATGTTTGGGTGCCCACAAGTCGCATGGCTCTCTGGCGGAGGCACAGAAGCCTGCTGACAGTGCGGAACCCTTCAGGCTAGAGCAAGTGTCTTTGTTTCAGCTCCGAAGTTGTTGCGCATGACGAATGGCTCATCCCTCCAAAAACCCTTGAGTCCTACACCTAAACCTCCAGACCTTTGCGGAGCATGGGACGATCAACCACTGAGCGCTAATGTAGGGGCCGAAATAATTACCTATACCATTTTGGGGGCTCCTTATTAAAACTATAGCATAATGGGCCCAAAACCCTATTCTGACCATTAAGGCCCCTATACTAAATCCTTATGACAGCCCTTATAGTAGCTCTTATACACCCTTCAAAAAGGAACCCTATTCTAATTATTCACCGAAAGGACGGAGCGATTTTGTCGAGTGGCGACTTCGTCCCTTGCGATGTGGTGGTCGGCTGCATCGGCTTCGAGCGATCGAGCCCCTGGGGCTTTGGGACTACTTGGAGGGTCGGGGGACTTAGTAAGTAGGTATTTTCGGGACTTATAAGTACCATAACCCCAATTAGGGTCCCTTTGAGGGTACTTATAAGTCTACTTACTACCTACTTACTAAGCCCCCCGACCCTCCAAGTAGTCTACAAGGTAAACCCTAAACCCTAAACCTGCGTCCTTATGGGTCTAGGGTGGTTCTTAGGGTTTTGTGAATTGCAGGTTGGGGTTATGGGTTTTTAGGGGTTTCGGGCTTGCGGGTTTTTGGTCACCATGAGCTCTCTCATGATCCACCCATTTCCCTTTTCTTTGGCGCAACCCTAAACCCCTAAACCCTTAACCCTTAAACCCTCAACCCCCTAAACCCCTAACCCCTAAAACCCTAAACCCTAAACCCTTAAACCCTCAACCCTTAAACCCCCAACCCCTAAACCCCTAAACCCTAAACCGGAGGCTTTTTATGCGAGAAGCTCACGGGACGCAGCGAGGCGTGGGGGTCGAGGGTCCCAGCGTTTTCAGGCTTCCTGCGTTGATTTGGGCAGTTGTCAAAATAGGGGTCCCTTCTTTGGGCACCCTGAATTATAGGTGCCGTATTATATGAAGGACCCAAAAAGGGACCCTAACTTTAACAACCACCCACTTGTTTCGAAGAGAGCTGCGAGTGTGGGGGACACTGTCAAGGAGACCAGGCCGGCGGTCGTGGTTCAAGGAGTTTCGTTTTCAGTCACCCTTGCTTTCACGAAGTATCGTGAAGGATTTCACAAACGCAATGCAGGCTGAAAGCCCGCCCAAGAGTGTTACTTTTCGCAGCAGGTGCGTGCCACCAACTACCTGGACAAGGACATGATGTATCTTGCAGATGCTGAGATTGACGAAGGCCGGAGCTTTCGAACCTGGGACGGCGTACTCTGCATAAATGTTGGGGCACGAAATTATGTACCGTCGCATTCGGGTACCCTGCTGTGACTATTCGGGGACGAGCTTCTGACGGACCCTAACCCCTAAAACCTAAACTCCCTAAACCAGAAAATCCCTGCTTCCCAGAGGCGCCTTCAACTCTTTCTTCGGCTCTTCGGTGCTGGAGTGCCTTGCCCTCGTTGTACCCATGCGCCCCATAGTAGTTCCTTTTTGGGAATACCTTATAGGATTCTAGATATGAACCCCAGAAAAGGAACTAACTACTATGGGGCCTTCGTTGTAAACGTCAGCTGAAGGCTGGGGCTGGGGAGCTCAAGCTCCAGGCAGCTTTGGGGAAGCCCTAGGCCATGAGATCTAGGTTTGGAGTGACAAAGCCAGAGAGCAGAGCTCCGAGTTGCCTTCGGTACTAGGGTATTCGGGGGGTATTATTGCTAGAGTAGATATTATTCTAGTAGTTATGACTATGAGCCCTTTGTTAGGTACGGGAAGTTCTTCAGCAACGTGTTCGTGGAGGGCCTGCGCCGGCCCGAGGACGGCACACGTGGGACGGGCGCGGTGTTGGGTCACACGGGCCAAGGCCGTCTCAGCTCTCAGTGTCCAAAGGCCCACAGGAACGGCTAAGGCTCATAGCCTAGGCTCCGACATCTTCAAGGACCCTATGAAGGACAGTAACACAGACAGGAGCAGCAGCGGAGCAGGGCAGCCTATTAGACTACTTGACCGTGACCTCCCATGAAACCTGAGAGGATTTGGGAGAATCTCTCTGGGGCCGCGATGCCCCGTCTGTGCGCATCACCCAAAGGCCAGCCATGCAGTGAAATGGGTTTTCTGGCTTGAGACTTGAGGGTGGAACACCCAGTGAGCCAAATGTCCCTTACTTAAGGAATATAGCTTAAATTGCATAGTAAGAAGCCTCGAATAATTTAAGGTCTATTCAAGTAAGGGGTATTGGGCACTCTGGGCATGCAGGAAGTGGAACCAGTACATTGCCGTGGCCATGAAGCTCATTGAGGAGGACGAGGCGATCGCGGGGCACGCCCGGCGCCAGGCCACTGCTGAGACTCTAAGCGGGGTTCCCAGAGACTCCAATATCCCTTAATTAAGGAATATACCTTAAATTGTAGTAGGATCCTTAATATGATTTAAGGAATATTCCCTAATTAAGGGGTATTGGAGTCTCTGGGTTTTGCGGGTTCGGCAAAGAGGTTCAGGGGGTTTAGGGCTCAGGGGTTTAGGGGGTTTCGAGGTGTACTTGGAAGATCATGGGACTTAGTAACTAAGGTTATAAATAAGGCAACTATACTTATAATTACTTATAACCCCAATTGAGGTACTTATAGCCTTACTTACTAAGTCCCAGGATCCTCCAAGTAGGGAGTTTTAAAGGTCTAGGCAGCATGGCTCTGCTGGCTCGGTTTGTTCGGTAGGCTGCGTAAGGGCCTTGGATGCACTTGATTAGGACCCAATTGGTCAAAGCACGATCAAAATGATCCGAATCTTTTCACGCCGTTCGTTTGGCAGCAGGGCCGCCGGCGAAGGCCCACTAGCCGGCACAGCCGCCCCCGCCCCACGCAACGACCACACTTCAAGTCGATGCAACAGGGCAAGCGTACGCTAAATCTGCACCAGCCGTGGCCTGAGGAACACCAACGGCGCCAATGGCGCCCTCCTCAACGACAGGCAAAACCAGGAAGGATTGGGCGGTGACAAACTCAACAGCAGAATCAGCCAGCAAGTTCCCGTCAGAGCCCACCAGCACGTCATGGTCGTCCGAGGGAGCGATCACCTCATCATCCGCCAAGTCGGATCATGAATCAACTTTTGTTGATGTGTTTCATGAGCTAATGGATGAATTACTTGTCAAACTAGTTGATTAATTGGTTGTTAAGTTGATGAGATAATAAAATGTTTAATCCATCCCTTCATCCATCCATCCATTCATCCATCCATACATTCATTCATTCATTATCAGACTTGTTCACTGGTCTTTAATTCAATCAATTTATGAAGTAGCTAGTAATAATTTGATTTAACTGGATTCCTTTGTTCCTTCGTTCATTGCTTCATTCATTCATTCATTAGTTACTTACCTGGTTAATCAGTAATCAAGCTAGTGAGTGTAATTCTGTCATTAATATTGCTTCATTTTTGTGTAATGAACTGATGCATTGGCCGGTTTACTCAAACAGTTGGTTATTTACATCCGTTAATTGATTAGTGGTTCAACCAATTGGATATTCAGAGCAACAGTCACATGTAGTCAGCAATTTTTCAACCAACTAACCAGTTACCCAGTTGCATTCACTAATTAAGTTGATCATTTTTTGGGTTAATTTGTTAATGAATTACGTCAAGTCATAAATGAACAGGAACATTCCATTGATTAATCGATTCGTGTAATCATTAAGCCAGCTGAATTAGATAAATAAACAAATATACAGGCGATTGGGTTAATCAATCCCTTACCTAACTCTTTTGATCAGTTCATGAACTAATTAATCAATGGCTTAATTAGCGAATTCCCAATTAATTACTGTAAACATGTACTTGTTTTATTAATCAAGTCTTCATTCTTTTAAGTCTGAATTAACTAGTCAATCATTTCAAGAACTCGGTTAGCTAGTTCATTCGTTAGACTAAGTAGACTGATTCCTTAATGCATCCATTAAATCAAGCACTAACTTGTTCAGTCTATTGATTAGTTGGTTGAATTGGTTAAGATGAGTTAGCCAATGCATATATGAATTAATGGATCAAGGAGTTATAAGTAAAGCCCTTGAACTCAATCGGTTTTATCTACTGAATGAAATGAACTAATGAGCGAGTGAGTCAATGCGAGCGAGCGATGGAGGGTGTGAGTGATTCAGTGGGTGGGTGAGTGAGTGACTGGGTCAGTGAATGTGTCAAACTCCAGTACACAATCCTGACAGTCTGTAGGGACCACGATCAATCACAATCCCGAAACAACACAGCACAATAACGGCAATCCTTTTGAGCAGTCCTGCCTAGCCTTGTAGCATATTGATTTAACATGATTTAACAAACTATTCAGTTCGTTTAATCGTGAACGATTAGCTACTTCAATAAAGTACGTAGTTCAGTAGCTTATGTACTGATTGCAGAAATTAAACTCAGTTGTTTCAATACCTTTACTGAACTATTATGTCAACTTGCATTACAACATATTTATTTAATACCAGTTTGATTTAATAACAACCTAGTTTCCTAATTAATTCTTCAATTAAGTAGTTAGTTCGTTGAATAGTTAGGTAGTTAGTAAATGAGCTACATAATAACTTGTTTAATTCAGTAAGGGATTCATTAACCAGTTGATCAACCATCTATATAGCTTTGATGAGTTGAACGAATTAAGGGCTTCCGCGTGCAAGGTCATTAATTCGGGGGAGGTTGCAAAATGCCAGACTCCACCAGTTGTGACATATGAACGTTGAGTTCACCTGGCTAGGAGACAGGAAGCAACTAAAAGACAGCTTGTCCATGTTGCACAAGTTGCGGCATCCGAGCAATGAGGAAGCCGTTCTCGGTTGATCAATAACCTTTCGACACCACTAGTTTCGCAAGTCGTGACAGCCCCCTTGGCTTGCCGGTGAGGCGAGCGAGGGACCAGTGTCAACAGAATCTCTAGCCCTGCAAGCCCGGTAGCAGCTCTTCCAACGAGTTGTGTCAGGTGGAGGAGCGCAGGAAGCACTTCTGGCGCACGCTGCCCCCAAGCAGTTTCCTGGCTGTGAACCGGCGCGAGTGGGAGGAGGGCCGCCTGCTGCACGCGCTCAGACTCAGAGACTCCCATTTCCCGTAATTAAGGAATATACAATCCGTATCATGATTTAGGGAATCTTCCTTAATTAAGGGATATTGGAGTCTCTGGGACCTTGGGACTCTATACGGTAAACTCAAGCCCTTAAGTCACAATACAAGAAGCTGACGCTCTGGTGCCGCGCCCCTATTCTACCTGAGTCATTGACCACGATAAGCCGAAGCATGTGAAGGAATCCAATTGGTGCTTAGTGAGTTTGCAGTGCCCAGGAAGGTCGTAGAGGTTTCTGCAGATAGTGGCTACATACTCTAGTGAGTCCATCTTCGTGAATCGTTTCGGAAGACTTGTCCAGTGTTCCATGCCTGTAACAGATGGAGCGCTGTTTGGTTTGAGTCGTCTGGGAGGAGCTCCACCAGCAGCTGAACGGCGGATGGCCGGTGCCGAAGGCGCTTGGATCCCTGTTTGGGTTTGGGGTTTAGGGTTTAAGGTTTAGGGGTTTAGGGGTTTAGCGTCTAGGGTTTCTGGAGATGGGTTTTATGGTTTTGTCCAGAACTTCTCGGCACAAGGCATGGCCCTGCACACGACAAGAAAAACCCTAAACCCTAAACTAAACAGTCAACTTCAAGCGCCCCGCCTCCATTTCTGAGCTGACCTGGAAGGAGCAGCAGCTCCCGTATTTCTTCGACGAGATCCCTGATTGGTGCTGAAACAAGGAGTGCGTGAGCCAAGAATTCGTTTTTACGTGGAGTTGTCCATGGCTCCAAGATTTGCAGTTTTGATCTGCATCCCTTTTGCAAGCGTCTCGCTGCTTGATGTGCAACCCGGCCTGTCTCCCTGGCCGGTGTGCAATTCCAAGCTAGCCTGAGGCATATGCAGGGGCCGTGCATTCTGCAGTGCCCGGCGCTGCAGCCAGCGATCCTGGCCAGAAGTCTGGTTCTGCCGGAGCACCCCGCAGTCGACGACGCTTCTTGTGGCCCTAAACTCTAGACCCCGAACGCTAACCTCTAGATTTCATCAGCCGGCGGCCAAGCGGAACATGTGATGGAAAGCCAGTGATGCTGGATCCCTGCACCCTCCTCCGGCTTCCAGCGGAGTCGCCTTGGATCCCCCTGATGGCCAGAGGTAGGCGTTGCTGTTTGCGAGGGCCAAATGAAGTTGCAGCAGCCTCGTATAGCCTCGTCCTGAAGCGCCCTATCTGCAGAAGGCGCTTCAGCACTTGGCAATGTTCATTTGGACCCTTTCACCTCGAATTTGCATTGTTTGCAGATGCATGTTCCGCGTTATCTTGCTCTGACAGAGCAGAGCAGGAGACCGAACGAGCAATGTACAGGCATGCTGCCGCTTCAACATACAGTGATCGCGACAGCGTCCAAACAAGGATCAAAATGGGGAATCTGGCAGCCGTGGAATCCCACAAGCAATTCCTGCAAGGTTGGCTGGTTGCCAGGCAGGCCGTCTCGAGGCTTTATTGGATGGTTTAGGTTTTGGGCTTTAACGTAGGAACCTGATTAAGAAACCCTGGCCCTATAACCCCCAATATATTACGATTCATATCAGGAACGCTAATTAGGACCCAGGGTTTCTTAATCAGGTTCCTACATTAGGGGGGTTGTTTTGTTGGGTCTAGGATTTGAGGGTTGGAGGGCTTGAGTCGGCTACTGCTCGGCGCAGTTGTGGTTGGGAGAACGCCGGCGGTGGCTTGGGGTGGAGTGGGGCAACAGAGCTTTCCTAAACCCCAAGCTCCTAAACTTGAAAAAACCCTAAACCCTAAACCCCTAAACCCCTAAACCCTAAACCCTTAAACCCTAAACAGAGCTTTGGCCAGCTTGTTGCCTGGAAACATGCCTGCAGCAGGCTGGGCCTAAGGTTGTATGTCATTGTAAGTACAATTACCATGGGTAAAACCCAACTTACGAAGTTTCATGATCTTCCATGTAAAATATCCGAAATCGAAGCCTGGGTTGGTTCAGTAGTTCGGTAATGGTAGTGGCGATAAGTGTAGTCTTTGTAGTACGAGTAGCTATGTCGGTTGCAGGCAAGATGTGTTTCGTGATCGGTGAACCTTTCTCTGAATGATTGGCATGCCTGACCCAAGACGGCGACAAGGTCTCAAGCCACTGTGCAAATTGCTTGCTACAGCACTTCAGGGTATTCACAAACTTTTGCTCCAGCGAGTTTGCAGGCCAATTTCGGCTTGAAGCAGGCTGTTTTGCTGTGCAGTTTGTTTCTGGTATGTGATCTGTCAGTTGTAACCGCACGCAAGTGCTGTCTTGTTGGCTTTCATTACTTCTAGGCGCATGAGTACGATTGTGCTCGTTGTCGGCAGAGCCTCCGGACTATTCACGTTGCTGTCGCAGATTGAGGCGGGTTGCGGTTCATTGTTTTCGCCGGCGCTACAACGAAGTTTGCTCGGTGCCGAGATCGAGATAGAGCCGTTAGATAGGTTGGCTACTGTCAATGCAATGCAATGCCTTCGGCTCTCAACGGTTGCTGCTTGGGCGCTGACATTGGCTGCAATGACCGCTGCAGCGAATTGGATGGGTCCCAGCAGGCACGCCTGACTTGCACTTTCTGTCTTCCAACAGTGTTCTTTGTGTGTTCCGTCGAAGATAGTGGCAGACATGTAATTGCACATACGGATGAATCTCATCTCTTCTGTGCAGGCGGGTGTCGCCTGGAGTATCCCGGAGAAGATATGGCCATTCACGACCAAGCGCAGCAACGCCGCGTGACATGCCCATGGCCTACAAGCACAAGCACATCTGTATCAAGTGCAAGCGAGTTTACGTGCACTACCACAGATGGAGGCAAGCCAGATGTTTTCATGGCCAAGGTGCTTGTGGAAACATGACAACAAAATCTGTTTGGACAGCATTGAAACTTGCTAGAACGTAGTCGCATGGTACGCATCGAACATTAGCACAAAATTAGTGTAAGCAAGCAGTTGTATTGACTGTAATAACTACCAAGCTTATTTGCGAGTATTGTTATTGTTATTCTGATTATCATAACTACTACTACTACTACTACTACTACTACTAGTAGTAGTAGTAGTAGTAGTAGAAGTAGTAGTAGTAGTAGTAGTAGTAGTAGTAGTAGTAGTAGTAGTAGTAGTAGTAGTAGTAGTAGTAGTAGTAGTAGTAGTAGTGCTGCTGCTGCTGCTGCTGCTGCTGCTGCTGCTGCTGCTGCTGCTGCTGCTGCTACTTTTACTACTACTACTACTACCACCACAACTACTTCTACCTCTACGTGTGCCTCTAGCTTTACCTCTACCTCTAGCTTTACCTCCACCGCTACCTGTATACCTCTACCTCTACTTGTACTTCTATTCCTACTTCTACTTCCCCTGCTACTGCTAGCAGTCTCACTAGCAGGGTATTGTGGCTTGGCAATGTTGGGCATGCTTTCAGGAATCCCCGTCATCGGCAGTTCGAGTTTCAATGTCCTTGGGAAGATTGTGCGTGGTATTATTTTAACGGCGACACGGAAGAGCAGCGAAGCAATCCCACGAAGTCCGTTCTCGACTCGCCGCCGGCTGAGACGACGGCTCCGCAGGTCAGAAGGTCAGGCCATGCCCCTCCGCTTGTCAGTAAGGATGTCGATGTGGACTGACTGTCCTTCCAGTTTAATCAAGCAGGTATTTGTTTCGTTCCAAAGGCCCACCATGTGCTACTCGCGCGGCCAAAATCTGTTAAAGATTCCCGTGCCATGTTGAGGTGCCGTCTCATCGTGAGGAGGTTCCTGACGAGAGATGGGAGCAATTGCGCAAGGCAGCATGCTCGGAGTTTGGGTTTTCGTTGAATGGATGACTGGTGCTGCCCAGACCCTGCACAGGTGTCGTTCACAAGAGTCACGCAGATGCAGCGGGAGCGTGTTGCTCGCTTGAGGCGTGCCAGAGCAGCTAAGTAGCCCGTGAGCAGTTGCTTTCACGGTGTATTTCCCTGGCCACAAGCGCCTTGCTTGCCCCGCCAAACCGGTACAGTCAGTAAAGTAGCAGGTCCGTCATGCAGGAAATCGATTCGCTCAAAATGATCTTCGAACAGCCACCAACCGAAGCAAGGGACAGATCCTCAAACGGCATGCCCAAACCTGGTAGGACTTGCCAGGATTGAGCGCATCTGTGGTGGCACGCTTTGCCTGCGGTTGGACGCACAATCAAAGCCAGGCTTGACCATGGAAAGGTGGGAGGAAGCAGGTTTTTCTGTGGATACGTTTCGCAATCACCTTTCAAGGCCGAAATCTTCCGAGACGGAACCAGGCTTGAGGCCTGGAGCTGCATTCTGAATCCTTACAGCGGTTAGGGTTTAGAGTTCGGGGTTTAGGGTTTAGGGTCCCAAACTCTAAGGCGAATGGTTTGAAGACCAAGCTTCCAGCACTTATTCCCTCAGCCTCCAGAGTTGAGGGATCCATGACAGCCCTCATCCGTATGCACCAAACTACTAGGAGGATCCTGGGGCTTAGTAAGTAAGGTTCTAAGTACCTTAATCGGGATTATGAGTAATTAGATATAGGTATAGTTACCTTATTTATAACCTTACTTACTAAGTCCCATGATCCTCCAAGTAGGCCAGAAGTCTGATGCAACGAACCACAGAAAAGAAGACGCTTCGCCTCCCGATGGCCCTGTGACCACCCGAGCTAGGTCCACTAGGTGTGGTAGTTGCAGGGTGGCTTTGGGTATTCATGAGCTGTGAAACTCAGTCCACGGTTCGGGCACATTACTCGGTTTCTGTGGATGTGGAAGAGTCCTTATTGGAGACGGGCAGAGCACAATGCCCCTAGTCTCTGCGTTCCCAGCCTGTTGCGTGCAGCTTTCTCGGGCTTGCAGCTGTGTTTGGGATTGCTCCACGATGTCGACCAGGACCTGTCTCGGCCACATTTTTCAAGCTAAAGTTCGCCTTCAGTTCTTTCGCAGACTACCCGGTGTAGTGCGGTTTCTTCATGGGAGCTTCCGAAAATAGGGGACCCTAATATAGCACCCTAAAATAGTAGGATCTTTATTATACGGACCCCAATAAAGTAATTCTACTTTCGGAAACTCCCACACGTATCCGCAGGAGGACACGAGGCTGCCTTGCATGGCTTTGTATTTGGGCCTTCGGCAAAAGTTACTGGGTTCTTGTTAAGGAACTAAACTTAAGTTACCGTAATAGGGATCTACTAATGGTAAATAACCAATATTAACTTAAGTTACCGTAATAGGGATCTAATCATGGTAGTGAACTTAAATTAAGTCCCTTAACAAGAACCCAGGTTACAGCTGTCCCGGGACTCCTGGCTTGCCGCCGCGACTCGTGACTTCTCCAAAAGAGGCGAAAGCCATCCTCAGCGATCCTCAACAGTTGAGGCATACCCAGAATCTCTGCCTTCGCGAATCTCGGGCAGATTTGGTTGGGGGTTTGATGGCATAAACCCTAGGCGAAAATTGATGCGAACATCTGGGTCTGATTAGTCGCAACCTTGTTTTCCTTGCTGTGTTTGGGCTTTGCTTCTCGACGTCGTGAGGCAGGCCCTTAGCTAAGGAAAACTTTGAGCTTGAGAACGTTTTCACTACCAACGACACAGAGCTCCGTCGGGAATTCTTGGAAGTTGTGAACCGTGGCATGGCAAAGCCGATTTGCGGTTCGGCGACTACGGCAGCCCGCACGTATCCCCGAGGCCAACAACCACTGTCAAGAGTGACTGAGAAGGTTGTTGCTGGCCATTTTTAACCAGATATACGCAGCAGATGTGGTTGATTTTTGGCAAATTTCGTCAGTTGTGCAGACCTTCTATTGTTGCTCAGGTTTTCGAAGCTGTCACACGCGCTTTCATTGGAGCACAAGACTTCGATGGTATCGACGTTTCGTTCTTCGATTGTTTTAACGATCTATGGCGCAACCGTCGCGATGAGTCTGGAGCCGTACGTAACAAGACGTCAGAGATGCATCATCGTGTGTGGCTTGGCGGGATACCTGTGCAGGCCGTGAAGGGTGCACGCGTCGCAAGCTTCGGCTGGTTTCCTCCAGGCAAGCCTTCTACACAGCCAACAAAGATGCGATTGACAGTCGGTCCCCCAGAGAATTGCCGCATTCCGCTGCGCACGCAGTGCGAGTCAGGCGTGGCATGGTACCTACCCGAGGTTATGGAGTTTGGGGCAAGAACTTGCCGACAAGAATGCTGCGCGATGCATGGGCATCGAACCCCCTCAGCATCATCATCCCGATATATTTGAACACCTGGGTCGCTGTTCAGAGAATCCTCGTCCGACTCCTTCGAGACACTTGGCAGGCTATGAGGCGTCGTGTGGCATTTGTGTCGGGTGTTAGAGCTGATGGCCGGTAAAGTTGACTATGGTGTTTACCCCTGGTTTTTTCCATCCGTCGAAAAGTTGGGACTCGAGAAGAGGAGCGGAACCAGGAGCTCCGGATGCGTCTTGCTCTTCTCTCCATAAGTGCTTTGAAGTTGCACACACGAAAACACAACAGGGGAGGCATGTGTATGCTGAATGTTGCGAGAAGCCTAACATTACATAACGCATTAGCCGTAGTGCCGGGGATAGCTATGATAGGCAGATACATTCGATTACGCGAATACATCAATGCCCAGTAAGATGCTGTGTCAGACGACAGCAGCCACAAATTCGCTGGACATTTTGTTTAGGAAGACATTGCCTGCCAAGCTGAGGTTCAAAATGAGCGCCAACGTGTCCTGGCAGAGATCAAAAAGGTGGACACAGACGCCTCGCTTGCTGATCTCCGTATCCCGCCGGCACTATTCACGAGTTGGGAGTCGCCTCGATCTTAAAAGAACATATGGGGGTTTCCGAAAATGGGGGGTACCTTATTTTGAGGTTCTTATAATAAGGATCCTACTATTTGGGGTACTATCTTAGGGTCCCCTATTTTCGGAAACTCCCATATGTCAGACTCCTGCCAGGTGTTTTGGACGAGATTGTCCACTACGAGCTGCGAAGCAATCCACCTGTGAAGAGCCTGGAAAGACAACATGCCCAGACAGGTGCGTGTTCTTATTGCTTTTGCCACGCTCACTGGTGGATGTGATGATGGTAACTGCGATGGTGATGCTGAGGCTGATTGCAAGGATGACGATCATGACGATGTTCGTGGTTATCATGGCTGAGGACTGAGACTTTCCTTGTTGTGAAGATGAGTGCTATGGTATGGAGACACAGAGTTATTGGTGGTGCCAGTAAATCATTCATTCCAGAGAGGGTGTGCGCTTGGAGGGCTGGCAAACTCCCTGGGCTTGCAGGAAGAAAGAACGAGAGAGGGGGAGAGACAGAGAGGGAGAGAGGGAGAGAGAGAGAGAGAGAGACAGGGAATAGATTTGCCGTTTTCCTGGTGTCCATCACTGGAACTACCTGCGCCGTTTTGTGAGACAGTGCGTTGAGGTGAGCATGTCAAAGTGAGTATCGAAGCTATGCTCAACAACGGGAAACAGGAATCTTGGGAATCTTGGCCAGTATTATCCGGCAGCTGCCTTGACCTTGGTTGTTGCTTCTTGATCCTCTTGACGTTGAGGAGTTCGGAGGTGGTATCGGAGCATGCCCAGCTCAAAAGTATGCGTGTCGAATGATGAAAGCAGTTGTCGCGAAAGTTCTCCCCCACCTTTCGATCTCCAAGGAGGACAGTGTTGCGCTCGCGTGGCGGAGTGTTGTGGGGTGAAGGTAAATACAAAAAGTGCTGTTGTAGAAAGCCAGTACTAATTCGTGTAGTTGTATATCGTTGAAGAATGGTGGCCCCACCGAGAACCATTCGTGAGCACAGTGTCCATAGTACTGAGACAAAGGGAGGCGACACCAGACATACCGACATACCCTCGACCTAGCAAGCCTGTAAACCCGAACAGAATGAGACTGTTACTCGGACGACGACTACAACTACAACGACAACTACAACTACAACTACAACTACAACTACAACGACAACTACAACTACAACTACAACTACAACTACAACGACAACAACAACAACAACTACTACTACTACTGCTACTACTACTACTGCTACTGCCTGCTATTGCTACTGCTACTGCTACTGCTACGACTACGACGACGACAGTGGCATATCACAACAATTAAATTTCTGAGTGTCTCCGAGTCTTGTCCAGGCTTCCCGCAATCCATCTTTCATGGCTGAGCAGCTAGGGGGCCTACTCAGCACAGCAGTCGCTTGGGCCTTCGTCAGACGTGTCGAGCTAGCAACATTAGCAGCTGCAGCATTGCAAAGCATTGCGACGTGGTAAATCCGGCAAGTGTTACTTTTTCACGTGTCATTGCGAGGAGTTCCGGCGGACACAACCAAACTTACCGGCAGTGGATGTTGAAGATGTTCTGGTTCAAGTTGGATGAGGCAGCCTTGTCTTGCAGTTCAAGTCTGGCTGAGAATTCAGTGCGTGCGTGTCAGCAGGATTATTCCAGACATGTCTTCCCCATTTCCTGCTACAGTTCCTCAGTTTATTAACACTGACAGTGCTTGTACAGTGGTCCTGAGCTCTTAGCACTCAAGTCCGGCAGTGCCATGCACGCTCGGGCTTGAAGTCGCTGAGTAGAACTGGGCAACGCTGAACACCGGTGATTTGTTTACAGACTTCATGCCTGTTTCTCTTCTCTTGCTTGCACGTGAAAGGTTCTGGCTCCGAGCATCCAGTTGAGACGGCTGACAGAAGTTCGCGATGTCATGACAACCTTTTATACCGGAAAGAGGGACAGGCCACAGTCTCGAAGCTTCATGAAGCAGTCCAGGAGGAAAGAGGATCTGCATAAGCTTCAGTTTTGCGCCCTCTGCTTGTATTTCCTTGCAAGGCTTCGTTGTCCTTGCGGAAGACGAAGAGTCAGCCAAAAAAAAGCATGCAGGGCATGTGATTTTTTCTGCTTCCGTGCATGAGTTGTTCCATTCGGAGTTGGGTGTTCATGGTGCATGGCTTGGACAAACCTAGTTACCCTTCCTTCGTTCCATAGGGACCCTTATAGGAAGGGGTAAGGGAGAGGGGGGTAGGGGATTGTACTTCTTTAAATACGTAGGCCTTACTAGGTCCTTATTATGGGCATTAAGGCCCCCTACCCCCGCTCCCCCTACCCTCTAAGGGTCCCATTGATTCGTCTTGTGGTCATCTTGTGCTGCTTGCATCTTGGCAGAAGGAGTTGAGCACGGCCGCGATTCCGACTGCACCGCAAACCTGCTAGATTATGGCGAAATTATGGCGGTTACTTGTTGCCCAGCCAGTACGACCATCTTGTCTTGTTTGTGTCATGTTCCGATAAATCAGCGAAACACTCATTGGCAAGCACAGGAAAGCAATGGTGTCTTGGGTCCGCCGATTACAGTACTTGAGCACACAGAGGCCGGAATGATCTTACCAGACCTTACTTAAACCCTAAACGGCGGGACGGGCCTAGCAGGCATGCCGGATCGACTGTGTTCTGCTCTGTCTTTCGCAGTCGGGCGTTTAAGTTCATAATACTGGAATATCCGCCTCTTCGGCCCCAAATGCGATTGTAGTGGCTCGTAAATTGAATGCTGCAGCGCATTCAAGTTATCCCCGCTCCTAGCGAAGAACCAGCATGATCCATCAAGGTGCCCCTCTGTAAGGTATCTCGATGAATTACATGGTCAATGACCTGATCCCTACACACTGAACATCCAAAGCCCTCAGCCGGGAGATTTCCATAGCTCAGACCACCAGTCGTTCCTGCATTTGTACTGCCATCGCTTAAAATCCCAAACCTGACACTGTTGCTTGTAGAAGGTCGAAGGACGCGAACATATCTGCTGGATCGCGAATTGATGGGACAGCGGAAACAAGGTCCCAACAGCCCAATATAAGGCAGAACGATGTGTAGCTTCAATATGTGCCGTATTCTGATGCGTCCTTATGTGGCTGTTCGATGCAGTCTCAGTGCCGTCCATGATCTTCACGTAGAGAGCAATTTCGAACATAGACGTGTTACTCTTGATCTCCACGCCGCTTCTCAGCAGCAAAGTGTTTTGCTCGAAAACCGCGTGCCCCCGCAGGGCTTCACACAGTGCACTGCATGCAGCACTTCCAGAGAGCTCCCTGCCCTGATATGTCACGTGCCCAGTTTACATCTACAGCCTAAACCCTAACCAAGAGGGTTGCACTGGCGCAGTGAACCCTTCTGAGCTTGTACGTATGGATGCAGCAGCCTTCAGAAGCTGCAGGCGGGGAGTTCCTTGGACACCCTTTTGTGACGTTATATTGTGATATCTCATAGCTCTATGTAGTATAATATCGTGTTTATTATATAACTCTATACATCGTATGTTACATAATTCTATGGGTATGCTGTAGTAGATTAAAGTGGAGGTTTCCAGTTCGTCTCATTCTCGGAGCTTGGAGAATTCGAGGTAGAGTTCTCTTCGAGCTTTGTGGGATCTGTCTTCTGTTGTTTCTTCGTGGCGAAGAACAGATACAGCGCGTCATGGTGGGAATCGGGCAGCTTTCTTGTCTATAGAGCCACCAGGAGGAGGGAGCGGAAGCAGTGTTGGGGATGCTTGAAACACCAACCCTAAACCCCACACCCTGAACATCGTCGGTCTAGTAACGTCTGGATGCGACCAGAAACGAAAATGATCTCACGGGACCTATGATTTTAAGTCCCTTGGATCGTCCATGCATTTTGCAGAACGCTCTAAAGAAGAGGATGAAGTTGCAGGCCACGGAAATTATTGCTGGAGAGGTGGTGGGAGGTGCGGCTTCTGTTACGATTGTTACAACATCTTCCGATGGTTGAGCTTCCCCCCAAGCAGAAGTCAACGAGAGGCTTGAAACCTTATGCTACTATGTTTCTTGACTTTGTCAACCACAGCGTTGAGGCTCGAAGTTAGGCTGTCCGCTTCTAAACGGCACCACGAAGCCCTCAACCCCTGCACCCGAAAGCAAGCAGTCCCCATCTTCTGGACCTTTACATGCATCTTACGTCCATGGTTTGAGAAGGTCAAGGGGTGAAGTTTCTCTGTTGTATGGCGCGTAGTAGGGAATGGTCCCTACATAATCCCCAATAGTAGCCCTCATAACCCATTCCCCCATTCCGTGCTAAGAGCCAGACAGTCTGTGCAGGCAGCCAGAAGTTACCCACAGCTGGTCTTCCTCTGGAAGCAGCCTGGTTTAGGATTACAGCCTACTGTAGGGCTTCCGGGTTTCTGCCTTGAAGGTTTGGGGTTTAGAGCTTGGGGCACAGGTGCCTGAGGGTTTGGAGCTGGAGTTCACGGAGTTAGGGTCCAAAACCCTAAACCCTAAACCCAAGTTTTATGGGCTGTTTGGGGCTTGTCGGCTCAGGTGAGGTCTACGAGTAGCATGGAACGTTGCCACTGCTTTGCCTAGACCCCTTTAACGGAACCCTTCACGATCCCTTTCAAGGTAGTATAGGTAATCATCAAGGCCCCCCATATTACACTAAATCCCTTATAGTATCCCTTAGAGTAGCCCTTATAGACCCCTTAAAAGGGAACCTCTATCCGCACCGCTTTTGTCGTCATCGGCTTTATCGTTCACCGTTTTGTTTTACCTGCTGACGACCCTCATGAGCGTGCCTTGATGAGATGTTTACAGCAGCACCCACCACCAAGAATGCCTACCGTTCGTTTCGCTATCGTTCTTCGAGGTTTAGCTTGCACAGCTTTGCAAGCCTGCAGTAGTGCTCATTCCCACCAGTACCCGATCAGTACCGCTATCGCCTGCCTTCTTTTTACTGTGTCCGTTGATGCTGCCGCAGCTACTGTTCCGCTGAGTAGTGCTATTAGGACGACCTTGCTGCTCCGGCGATGCATGGTGATCCTGCTGATTCGTATTGCTATTGTTTTGATGTTGTGGCATTTCTTTCCGTTGTCGCCGGCTTGACTCCCGGCAGATACCAGTCGACTGTCTTGTTTTCCTTCTCTCAGCCGGTTAAACGGGTTCTGGACATCTCTGGAACTGTTGCGCAGCCGAACGCGTTTTGAATCAGTATACCCAAGAGGGAACAGGCTTCATGGTTTGGCCGCCTCAGACGGTGCGAGGTGGGATAGAAGCAAGAAGACCGTGTCGCATGTCGCAAGATACCTTCGCCTAATTAGGCACTATTCCACGGTGAACCCTAAACCCCACCGTAATCACCCTAAACCCTAAACATCCCTAAACCCGAAACTGTAAGCCCTAAATCCTAAAGCCCTGACCCTAAACCCTCAACCCCAGCCTGTTGCCTTCCCCCGACCCAATCTCGGCCGGGGTTGGGCCAGGGCCGCATTGACCTTAGGTCTTCATGCAGCCCCGAAGGGTTTATGGTCTAGCGTTTGGGGTTGTGTTTTTTTAAGAAAAATGTCTCTATGGAGAATCTGCTCCACTACTAGTTATTCGCCGCTGTTCATACTCTCGTGTCAATTTATTGAATGTTGCTGGTGTCATGAGTGTCATTACGATTGATATCAACTACATGGGTAATCCTGCCGTTGGTGCGGTTATGTACGGCTACATAATTATCAAGCCCAGGCTTTGAGCAGTATCAGCAGTTGCACCGTTGTCATTAAGACATATCCCGTTGTACTCCTTTTGTGACTCTCATATGGTGGCGGTGCTGCTCGCTCGACTACAATTGGAGGGTCTTGGTCTCTTCTTCCGGGTTTAAGGTTTAGGATTTAGGGTTTAGGGGGCCTCACTTGCGTCCACGGCACAGGATGCACGCTGGCGCGGGGTAAAGGAGGTGTTCGTCCAAAACCTGCCCGCGCGCCACGCAGCTGCAGGGAGTTTGGGCCTTCAGCCAATGGTATTAAGTAACAGTGGAATTAGCGAAATAGAAACCCACAGCACACACAGCAAGACATGACCAATTCAGATTGAATAGTGCCAGAAGATGACAATCAATACACAACAACCAGGAACTGTTAAAGCAACGCCAGACGGACTGCTTGATGATGGGATGATGGTGATAATGATGGCGATGGCGTGTAATCGTCACAAGACCGCCCCAATAACAGAAGCAGAAGACATAAACATGAAGCACGAGCTCCTCCTCCTCCTCCGCCTCCTCCGCCTCTTCATCACCATCATGATCGTCATCGTCGTGCTCCTTATCATCATCCTCATCCTCATCCTCATCTTCATCATCGTCGTCATCGTCACTGTCATCCTCATGCTCATAACCATCCAGTTCCTTCATTACCATCGTCGTCGTCGCCGTCATCCTCATTCATCGTCATCCTGCTCCTCATCCTCATTATCGTCATCCTCATCCTCGTCATCCTCATCCTCGTCATCCTCTTCACGTCGTCGTCGTCGTCGTCACCGTCATCCTCCTTCACACATCGTCATCGTCATCACCATCGTCTTCCCACCATCATCCTCATCCTCATCCTC